GTCCCCAACTGACCTGTTCCTCCTCTTCAGTCTTGCTCGTGCTCTATTCCAATTCCATTCCAATATTATTCCAATTGCAGGGTGCCAAGCCTGACCCGGACGATTATTGTATCACTTACGCCACACTGAAACTCAGCGAGCCCTCAGAGGGAGAAGACAGAGCGGATGGAAACGTTTATGAGAATATTCTGCTCAACTAAGAGGGAAGAAAACAGAGGAGAGGCTGGTCATTTTATTCTTTACACTGTCTGATTAAGAGGTGTAACGTTATTCCCATGTACCGTTAACAAACTTGTGAACTTTGCTGTGGAAACTGTGCTTCACAAGTTATTTGATTCCACTCATTTTTGGGTGGGGATGCTACTTTCATGTCGTTGCATCTGTCAATCTATTCTGCACCGTATGTCCAGCTGGGTTTTGAATTTACCAAAATATTCTGGCTGCTGGTGGTCTTTGGAAATTTAATACATGCCTCTGCTTTACTGTCACATACATATCTGAGGATTGAGCTTTTCAGTTGGTGCATGTTTAAGGGGAGGAATACATCATCTGTCCCCTTCTGTGCATGGATGAGCAGGAATCTATCCCATTCTAACCAACTTTGAACAGGAATTGTCAAACAGATCTGACAAGCGGGAGATATGAAAACAGAAACCAGCTAGTTTCAACGGTTATTTTCCTGGGTGAAAGAGACCTGGGGAGTGGAGTTTGAACGAGCAACTTCTGGCCCCACAGAAGGAATAGACACAGCCACAAACCACTGAAGAGCTGGATAGACAAGGCATGGCTGAAAGGGAGTCTCTGCAGAGAAGACTACATCTCCCAAAGATCTGAAACCTCTGCCAGACACCTCAGCCCGGATTTCTCAGATTCCGAACCCCATTGTTGGAACTGGAATGGATAAGATTTCTCTCACTCCAAATATTTTGGAAATACCACGTTGTGGCGGTTGGGTTTCACAAACCTCCAGAGGGGCAGACTTCAGCTTGAACGGGGAAGTGATGGCCTGGTGGGATTATTGCTGGACTGTTACTCCAGAAACCCCGGTAATGTTCTGGGGATCCGGGTTCGTATCCTGCTATGGCAGATGTGAAATTACGAGTCTGATGGTGAATTGTTGGAAAAAAAATCCATCTGGTTCACTATTGTCCTTCAGGGAAGGAAAGCGCCGTCCTCACTTGATCTGATCTACATGTGACTCCAGACCCACAGCAGTATGTTTGACTCTTAATTGCCCCCAGGCGGCTAAGGAGGGGTGATAAATGCTGGCCTAGCCAGCGATGCCTTCATCCCATGAGTGTAAAAACATGGGTGTCTTATTCTGGAGGTACGGACAATATCACTGCACCACAAAAGGGCTCGGCTTAATGTAAAAACAGGCTTTCGAGTAAATGTTAAGTTTTTAAAACCTACACCGTATGGATCTAACAACTGCTGTCCACCAAAAAAGGAACAGGGCAGGTCCAATTACAAACCGATAAACACCATCAGACACAACGACAGCGTGAGGGCCGAAGGTTCTGGTCAATAGGTGCCACGTATCTTTGAATGGAACAGCAGGACTATGCTGATGAATAGTTAAGCATTCGAGCAAGTTCGGATGGTGACTGGGTTATCGTATTTTTTAAACACGGTGGCCCCTCGTTCAGGCAGATGATGAAGAGCTTTGCCAGAAAGGACGTATAGAGCTCATAGAGTCATCCAGCATGGAAACAGACCCTTCAGCCCAACTCCTCCATGCTGATCAGGTTTCCCAAACTAAACTAGTCTCATTTGCCTGCATTTGGCCCAAATCCCTCTGAACCTTTCCAATCCATGTACCTGTTAATCCAGAGACTCAAGTAATGTTCTAGGGACTCGGGTTCAAATCCTCTCATCGTAGATGCTGGAATTTGAATTCAATTTCGAAAAATATGGT